CTCCTCCTCCTTCCTCCTCCTCCTCCCTCATCCTCCTCCTGGTCTTCTTCCTCCTCCTCCTCCTCCTCCTCCTCAGCGTCCTCCTCATTATCATCATCATCATCATCATCATCATCACCACCATCATCATCATCATCATCATCATCATCATCATCATCATCATCATCATCATCATCATCATCATCATCATCATCATCATCAGCATGATCATCATCATCATCATCATCATCCCCTTCGCCTCCTCCTCCTCCTCCTCCCCTTCCTACCCATCCTCCTCCTGGCGGACGTTCCGCGGGATCTGGGGGTCGTGCCGCACAGAGAGCAGCATGCAGAACTCGAGAAATCGGAGCACCTCGTCGAGATCGCGAAGGCGGGCGCGAAGAAGGCCTCGTGGCCTCCCACCAGAGGCATGGACTACACCTCCGCCATGCGACACACCGTATTCCGAGAAGAAATTTGGCGAGTTGGAGGTGGGCGCCATCGAGGCGCTGCCATGCCAAGCACTGGAGGCGTTCGTTGACAGAAGTCCCGTCCATCAGAGGTGGAGCCTGCGCCGCGCTGGACGGCCACAGGCAAGCCAACAACAGGGCGGAGCTCAGAACTTCAACCTCAGCAGTTCGTCACACCAGAGGAAGGCCACGTTTCTGGACTGACTCGGAGGTATCATTCAAAAGCTGCTCAAGAGGTCTGCACCTCAGGCGGGCAAACAGAAGTTACATGGAAGACGTGTGGTCAGACATCGGCGCAGAGATTCGTGATAGACAGCACGATGTGGAAGTCAGATGGTCGGACAGCCGTATGAGAGAGGCGGAGTCAATAGTTCCGTTCAACATTTGGTGCGGGAGCGAGGGTGCGGATGAGCTCGCAGCCAAGGGAGAAGCATAACATCAAATATCACAAGCGTGCCTCTCTTGCTATGAGTGGGCTGTCGGCGCTGCCGCCGTCGTCAGGAACCGTATTATTCGTGCCACTCTGAATGCTCTTGAGTCTGAGAATTCGTCCTCGGCGAGACAGGTGGGGAGGGCGAAGAAACGATCTCGCCCTGACGATCGCGCGAGGGCCTAAGCGGGCTCCAATCATACTTTGCACTTACAGGAAACCAGATGGAGTTGTTTGGATTGTCTTAGTTCTGGCAGCAAATTTGCGAGTAGGGAAGTGTTGCACGAATGACTTTCGAGCTAGTGCCCTGGGCCACCTCACCCCCCAGCCACACCCAGCACAGCTCGCTTGCTGGGCGACGTGTCGACACCCCTCCCACGAGCTTGTCTTCTATGAGCCAGATTGGGTATGCAAGTTGTGCAAGTGTCGAGCTCTGGAGGGTAGAGGTCACCTCAGAGACCTTCCGGATGTGCGTAAGTGTCGCAATGGAGAGCCCCCCACCAAAATGGGGTCGTGGGTCTTCTCTAAAGTTTTGGCGGGGAGGCCACTCTAATGAGGTCATCCCGAGCCTCCATTCAGTCCCAGCAGCGTCGGTTTGGGAGAGTCCTTTGGAAAGTCCTCCTCCTCCTCCTTTTCCTCCTCCTCCTCCTCCTCCTCCGACTCCGACTCCGCCTCTGCCTCCGCCTCCGCCTCCGCCTCCGCCTCCTCCGCATCCTCCTCCTCCTCCTCCTAAGACCCCCGATCGCAGGGAAGCTAGAGGTACGGATTCAGCAACTCCCAGGACCTCTCCCCGGGGTGCGTTCTGACCGAAGTTTCAAAACAAATCCAACGGTGGCGATGAGGGCCTCCCAGCAGGAGGCCCAACAAGGCAAGGGAAGGCAAGAACGAGGGAAGGGAAGGGTAGCGGTGTCCGTACCTTCGCCTCCTCTGAGATCGGAGCCCGTGGCGCCCCGACCTGTCCCACGTCCAACGTCAGCCGCTCCACAAAAGGCGGCGTGCACCGCACGCACGGCTGCACCGCGTGGCGGCCCAACGCGCGCTCCAGCCAGCTGCCGAGGCCAGCCAGCCAGCTCGCCTCGTGGAGGCACTGCGCGTCGTCGACGACGACGACGACGACGACGACGACGACGACGACGACGACGAGCCAGATCTCCGACGATCTCTGGAGGCACTGCGCGTCGACGATGGCGCCAGACCTCCAACGCATCAAGGTGGCGGTGCTTTGTCGCTTCCAGCGGCTTCGGGGCCCTCGCCGGGCCCTGGGACTCTCCAAACACGACCCAGAACGAAGAGCTGGTCCCAGGGCTCGACCTAATCAGCGTGTGCTCGTTTTCATGTGTTTTCGTTTGCCCTCGTTTTGTCTTCAATCCGCCTTTACCGCAAAGTGAAATCGAAACGAAAACGGCCCACGAAATCGCGAAAACACCGTTTAGGTCCACCCCTGGCTGGTCCCTGGGAAGTGGTCCGTACCTTCAGGGACCACGCATTGAAAAAAATATCCCGGCAATGCAACCTAACAGCGATGTGTAGAAGAATATCTGGAAGCATTGCCCTTGAGATTCATGTAGGAGTCCTGTTGTAGAATTCTGGTGGAATCGCAGTCGCAGTCGCAATCGCAATGGCAGTTGCAGCGGCAATGGCAGTCGCAGTCGCAGCCTCAGCCTCAGCCTGCCTCAGCATCAGCCTGCCTCAGCGTCTGCCTCAGCCTGCCTCAGCCTCAGCCTCAACCTCAGCCTCAACCTCAGCCTGCCTCAGCCTGAGCCTGCGTCAGCCTCGGCCTCAGCCTCAGCCTGCATCAGCCTCAGCCTGCATCAGCCTCAGCCTCAGCCTCAACCTCAGCCTCAGCCTCAGCTTGAGCCTGCCTCAGCCTCAGCCTCAGCCTGCCTCAGCCTCAGCCTCAGGCTCAGCCTCAGCGGTGGATTCCCCATAGTCACTGGCGGCGCTGGGGGCCTCAGCATCAGCCTCAGTGGTGGATTCCCCATAGTCACTGGCGGCGCTGGGGGCCTCAGCCTCAGCCTCAGTGGTGCGTTCCCCATAGTCACTGGCGGCGCTGGGGGCCTCAGCCTCAGCCTCAGCGGTGCGTTCCCCATAGTCACTGGCGGCGCTGGGGGCCTCAGCCTCAGCCTCAGTGGTGCGTTCCCCATAGTCACTGGCGGATCCGCGGATTCTCCCCGGATCCTGCCCGGACCCCTCTGGGGAGTCATGATGCTTTCTTTTGAGACCATTAGAAACCTATCAGTCTTCGCTGTTAGGTTACAGTCATCGGAGGTCTGGGGCAACATCGACGTCAACGTCGTCGCTTCGGGGGTTCAGCGAAACGCTGTTCGGGAATCCTTATCTTATCGGCGGATGTCAGCGGACGCCGTCATTTCTGAGGCTTGGGGGCGTTACTGGAGGATCTTGTCGCCACCTGCCAGAGACCCGACTCGGGAAACTGGCCAGGATGCGTCATCGGAAGGGTCCCATGATTTGTTGTGATTTGAATTGTTCACCGAAAGCAAACAGGAAAGATAGATCGAGAAATCAGCTGCCCCTCAGGAGGGCAATCCCAATCGCGCGATTCACGGACACGCGAGCACAGCGAGACACGTGCACGGACAGTCGGAGAAGAAACAAATCGCATCGCGACGAGAAAAACGTCACTGGCAACCTGAGCCAGCCGCAGCCCGGATCGGGC